CGAAAGGCAATAATTAAGAGACATAATAATGAAAATATTGAGCAATACGGGTCCTAAGACAGAGCTTTGGGGAACACACTGTTGACTGCTATGAAGTGTCTTATCTGATGCTTTAGCTTCTGCTTTACTTGTTTAGTTGGTTAGCTAGCTAGCTAGCTAGCTAGCCAGCTAGTCCGTCAGTCCGTGAGGCAGCCAGTCAGTCAGCCAGTCAGCCAGTCAGCCAGTCCGCCAGTCAGCCAGTCAGTCCGTCCGTCAGTCAGTCAGTCAGCCAATCAGTCAGTCAGCCAGTCCGTCAGTCAGTCAGCCAGTCCGTCAGTCAGTCAGTCAGTCAGCCAGTCAGTCAGCTGGTCAGTCAGTCAGTCAGTCAGTCACTTAGTCAGTCAGTCAACCAATCAGTCAGTCAGTCAGTCAGTCAGTGAGACAGTCAGTCAGCCAGCCAGCCAGTGAGTCAGTCAGTCAGTCGGTCAGTCAAGCTAGCTAGTTAGCTAACGAGCTAGTCAGTCAGCCAGTGAGTCAGTGAGTCAGTGAGTCAGTGAGTCAGTCAGCCAGTCAGTCAGTCAGTCAGTCAGCCAGTCAGTCAGTCAGTCAGTCAGTCAGCCAGTCAATCAGTCAATCAGTCAGTCAGTCAGTCAGCCAGTCAGCCAGTCAGTCCGTCAGTCAGACAGTCAGTCAGCGAGGCAGTCAATCAGTCGGTCAGTCAGTCAGTCGGTCGGTCAGGCTAGCTAGCTAGCTAACTAGCTAGTCAGTCAATCAGACAGTGAGGCAGTCAGTCAGTCAGCCAGTCAGTACGTCAGTCAGTCAGTCAGTAACGCAGTCAGTCAGCCAGTCAGTCAGTTCGTCAGTCAGTCAGTCAGTGAGGCAGTCAGTCAGTCGGTCAGTCGGTCAGTCAGTCGGTCAGGCTAGCTAGCTAGCTAACTAGCTAGTCAGTCAATCAACACTGAAGTCAGTCATTCAGTCAGTCAGTGAGGCAGTCAGTCAGTCAGCCAGCCAGCCAGTCAGTCAGTCAGTCAGCCAGCCAGCCAGTTAGTCAGTCAGCGAGTCAGTCAGTCAGTTATTATAATTATGCAAGTTCAAATACAATGTAACGGCGAAGTTTGGAAAGGATGCTAATGGTCCTTTTTCACTTTTTAACAATCTGAATAAAACATAATGGATATATTTTTTCAATGGACATATTTTCCAGGAAAAATGTGAATCTATCAAAATTCCCGAGTNAGTTCTAAAACACAGATAATCCGTTACATTACATAAGTGTCCCAAGGACTTTTGTCCACGATTGTAGCTAGTCAGTCAATCAGACAGTGAGGCAGGCAGTCAGTCAGCCAGTCAGTACGTCAGTGAGTCAGTCAGCCAGTCAGTCAGTGAGGCAGTAAGTCAGTCAGTCAGTCAGTGAGGCAGTCAGTCAGTCGGTCAGTCAGTCGGTCAGGCTAGTTAGCTAGCTAACTAGCTAGTCAGTGAATCAGACAGTGAGGCAGTCAGTCAGTCAGTCAGCAAGTCAGCAAGTCAGTAAGTCAGTAAGTCAGTCAGTCAGTCAGTGAGGCAGTCAGTCAGTCAGTCAGCCAGCCAGCCAGTCAGTCGTCAGTCAGTCCGTCAATCAGCCAGCCAGCCAGTTAGTCAGTCAGCCAGTCAGTCAGCCAGTTATTAAAATTATGCAAATTCAAATACAATGTAACGGCGAAGTTTGGAAAGGATGCTAATGGTCCTTTTTCACTTTTTAACAATCTGAATAAAACATAATGGATATATTTTTTCAATGGACATATTTTCCGGGAAAAATGTGAATCTATCAAAATTCCCGAGTACCTTAAGAAAGTTTCATGATTAAACGGAATGTTCTCA